TACCCGGTAAGGTGGTCAGTCTTGTAGACGATTAAATTTCTACCCGGTAAGGTGGTCAGTCTTGTAGACGATTAAATTTCACCCGGTAAGGTGGTCAGTCTTGTAGACGATTCAATTTCCACCCGGTAAGGTGGTCAGTCTGGTAGACGATTCAATTTCCACCCGGTAAGGTGGTCAGTCTGGTAGACGATTCAATTTCCACCCGGTAAGGTGGTCAGTCTGGTAGACGATTCAATTTCCACCCGGTAAGGTGGTCAGTCTGGTAGACGATTCAATTTCCACCCGGTAAGGTGGTCAGTCTGGTAGACGATTAAATTTCTACCCGGTAAGGTGGTCAGTCTGGTAGACGATTAAATTTCTACCCGGTAAGGTGGTCAGTCTTGTAAAAGATTAAATTTCTACGTCCTTAGTAATGATGCGCTGAAAACGACATTTGCTTCTTTAGTGATAATGTAAAGTTTAAAAATCAATATATAATTTATTTTTACAAGTAGTGATAAAATTATAAAATCCAGTTAATAATTTTATGATGGCGATTCTGGCATTTAATAGAAGTATTTTATATATGTATATTTAATTATTTTTTAATTCACTAGGCTCTGGATTATTTGTTCATATAAATTAGAAATGTATTCTTTCGCTATCTTGTCGCAATGTTTTGATCGAGGTTAATTATATATTCTTTTATCTTATTCCGTGTTAAAAGTTTTGTACACATTTCTTTTTTATTAATTAATAGGAGCGTCAGCGGTTAAAAAATTTAAACCTTTTAATAAACAACTTAAACCTCATTTGGAGAAAAAGTGTCAGCCGTCTAGTTAACAGTGTTTTCAACATAATCTACATACAAGTATAAAATAAATTTATCGAAATCATGCAAGTATTAATAGGACTTCGAAATGTTAGGGTTAATTAAATTCGTTCGCAATCTGTATTGTTCTGCCATCTGGTGAGTTTTTTAATTAAATATCTGTAGAAAATTAGAGACGCTTATATCTGTAAATCGCTAGTTTTAAACCACCACTAAAAAACTGGTGGTATTTTTTAAATTTAGATTTCAAGCGAATTTCATTCCTTTTAATACGAGACTTTTGATAATTTTTTTGAGAACATAAAATGTTTTGAAGTACTTCTGTTTAAGCTTTTGTTGCTGTTTTGATTTCAGTTTTGGGTTTATTAAATTTGAAAGAAAAAAAAAATATATAGAGATTCCTCAATGTTTTGTTTTTTCCGCCATCTAGTGTCAGTTGTTTCAATATTAAAAATTATATATAATACTGCTGTTTGTTTTGAATTTAGCGTAAAGCTATATGAGGGCTATCTGCACTAGCCGTCTCTAATTTAGCAGTGTAAGACTAGAGGGAAGGCAGCTAGTCATCACCATCCACCACCAACTCTTGGGCTACTCTTTTACCAACGAATAGTGGGATTGACCGTCACTTATAACGCCCCCACGGCTGAAGTGACGAGCATGTTTGGTGGGACGGGGATTCGAACCCGCGACCCTCAGATTGCGAGATGAGCGCCCTAACCACCTGGCCGTGCCGGGCAAATAATATATTATAAATAATGTGAAAGTTAGGATTTACGAGTTTAGTTATCATAGCATCAACCCTCACATTTTTTTAAGTTTATAACTCAGATAAAGGATGGGAACCTCAGCTTGTGATGTAACAATCCAGAAGCTTCGTGAAATACTTGGAGAGAATGGTACGATATAAATATGAGTAATCAGTAGTGATTGAGTCAGTGAATGAGTGATCAAATTTAATGTTAGCAGTGGGAGTTATCACGGCTGATCAATTAGTCGATCGATTAGCAAGGAAATTCTGTACTTTTTAGCTAGGCATACCATTATTCTCAGAATTCCGGTTCAAACATCTTTTGTGAAGTTAGGCACACCATTATTCTCAGAATTCCGGTTCAAACATCTTTTGTGAAGTTAGGTACACCATTATTCTCAGAATTCCGGTTCAAACATCTTTTGTGAAGTTAGGTACACCATTATTCTCAGAATTCCGGTTCAAACATCTTTTGTGAAGTTAGGCACGCCATTATTCTCAGAATTCCGGTTCAAACATCTTTTGTGAAGTTAGGCACGCCATTATTCTCAGAATTTCGGTTCAAACATCTTTTGTGAAGTTAGGCACGCCATGGAAATGGTTTCACGACATTTTTCTGCCGGCAAATAATTATATTCTCAAACAAAATATTTACTAGCACAGTCAACGACTTTATTTTAAAAAAATACAATGAACTCATAAACTATCGCACTAAACGTGATTAAAAATAAAATTAAATAATAAAGTAATTGGATAAGTTGCTTGAAAAACAGAATAATAAAGTGATTGAATAATTTGCTAGGAAAAAAAATATAACAAATACGTACACTATTATTGATGTTTACACGGGTAAAATATTTATGACGTAAATTTCGTGTTCAAGGTTGCTTTCATAATATTTCGACAATAGTGTCGTAGAACTTATGGAAATGATTTTTAATTTCCTCCTGGTAGGGGTTGATTCTGAGGAAGGAGTAACTCATAACCTGCTGCCCCACAAACAAAACGTAGCTGAAGGCCACTCTATAAAATCTCATTACCTGAAGGCCTTTCTTTAAAGTCTCATTCGACCAACTCAGTTTTTCGAGTTGATCAGGATTAAAGATTTTCGTTATATCTCCATCCCGAGTCTTTTTTCTCTCTAAGTAGTTTTATCTTCTGTCTCCCATACTTGGCCAACGTTTTATAAAGTTGTTTGTTTGAATTTCGCGCAAAGCTACACGAGGGCTATCTGCGCTAGCCGTCCCTAATTCAGCAGTGGAAGACTAGAGGGAAGGCAGCTAGTCATCACCACCCGCCGCCAACTCTTGGGCTACTCTTTTACCAATGAATAGTGGGATTGACCGTCACGTTATAACGCCCCCACGGCTGAAAAGGGCGAGCATATTTGGGGGGGGGGGTACGGGGATTTGAACCTGCGACCCTCAGATTGCCATTATAAAGTTGTTTGATGCTGTTTTGCAATGAATTCATTTCATTTTCGTTGTACAAGTTCCTAACAGCGTTTGATGAATCGTGCATCATGCAAGTCAGAATACCTGGCTTGATCTTCGCTAAATATTAAATGAAAAAGTAAAGAAAAGAAAATAGTTAGAAACATACATAGTAATGGGTTGGTAGAATTAATCTATTTCTCAAACTACTTTGTAAACTTATATTGCTTTCTTCTTATTCAATTTTATATTTTGATACGATGGTTAATTGGACTTCAACTTTTACCTCCATTGAAGATCGTTATAACTAGAAGAAGGAACAGAATCCGGAGAGAAATAAGGGGTTAATTTCCTTCATACTTTAGATATTATTACTGACAATCAAGGATACATATACTAGAATGTCAACATTAGGTTTACGTCAATTTACTATCTGAGTAGAAGTGAAGGCAAACTGTGTTAGTCACGCATTTAGTTTGAATTTCTTGAGGTTATCGGCTCTACCAATTTCATATTGGGCCTAATCAAAATGGTCCTACAGGGAATCATATATTTACATAAATTCCAAATGAAGATTTGAAATGAATAAAGAGGCACAAACATATAATAACGAAGAAAAAGCTAGGCTTACTCGCCAAACACGTAAGCCTAGCTTTTTCTTCGTTATTATAACATTTTTTTACGCCAAACACACAAAAAAGTTATAATAACGAAGAAAAAGCTAGGCTTACTCGCCAAACACACAAAAAAGTTATAATAACGAAGAAGAGGCTAGGCTTACTCGCCAAACACAAACAAAAGTTATAATAACGAAGAAGAGGCTAGGCTTACTCGCCAAACACAAACAAAAGTTATCATTTGTTTTCTAGTTTTCACGACGAACCTTTTATTTACAATTTTCATCTTCGTTCTGGATTGGAGGGAACTTGTGCATCATCTTTTCATAGATCGGTTTGAACAGCTCCAATCTGAACAGCATGGTATTTTTTCAATAGAAGTCTCAATTGAGGTGGGATTATGGCGTTCGCTCAAATGGGTAACAACATGACACCTTGCTGTCACGTGAGCGCGTTCTATCCAATCATACTCTTACTCGATTGAAACCAGTTTGGACGAACTCTCTTTCTTTATGTAAATTCCATGTTGAAACAACTTTCATTTAACTGATTTTTATCACAAACTGTTGACCTCTTGGTTTCTAGTGTTTCAGCAACTTTCGGCGCGTTAAAATCGTAACTTTTATTATACTACATATATAAACAGCGTTTTTGATGAAAGAGTTAGCACAAAGGATCACATATAAAGTGTAATAGACTTAAAATAGACTTTGTTCTTCTGAAGAAGAATAGTCAACTATTCGAAAGCGCTCGAGTTTTGGGTCTTTTTAAGCCTATATAAACAGAGTTAATAGGGTATTTCGTTTTTATCATTTAGCTTCAACGACGAGCTATGAAGGCTCCTTAGGTAATCGCTTGTGGGAGACAAAAGATAGATTTGAAATATTATTTTTACACAAAGAGGAATGGGGGGGGGGGAACATTTGCAGTTTATGTTGTTTATTAATAAGCCCTGATATCAAACATGTCGATTTAATTGGTAATTAACTAACGTTTTTGAGTTAATATAGCTAAGCAAGATTTTTAGTTTGGTTTTTAAATGCATATATTCTTAAAAATAGCATAAAATATCTGTGCTCAACTGTTGGATTGAAAGGCCCCCTCCTGACTGATGGACGTTACAGTGTAGAGCTCAAGCTCCTCCATTAACCACATTTATTTCTATAACTACACCCCCCAAAAAAAAATCAGTTAGGACCTTTGGTACCTTAGCATATGTGCCAAGTTTGATCCCACTAGCTTGTGAGTGAGGGTATGAACACAATTTTAAACATGACGCTCCGGGATCTCGATACCAAATTCGGGTTCAACATGTCTGGGGTTATTCGGAGGCGTTTTAGCCCTCTTAGGGGGAGCTATACCGTATAGATAAGGACTCGGCCAGTACCACCCCGAGGCTGCCAACCAAGTTTGGTGCTGCTAGATCAATAACTAGAGATACATACATACGAAGCTCGAAGCCGAATTATATAGGACAAACCACACTTCCGAGAATAATTTTATAGTTAACAAATTACCTACTAGATGTCACCACATTCTTAAGTAAGTTGCAATCACTAGTATATTACTAGTCAAATTTCAGAAAACCTTTAGCACTACATAATAAACGTTTTTATAATTTAGCTAAGTGCAGTACTTACACATATATAAGATAAAGATCCAGTTTTTGCTCCAGGGTTCTGGAGATGCAAAATTAAATTTGGAGAAAAATGTATATGTTGTTAATATTCTGAAAAGAAAAACATTGTACTATAAAGGTAAAATAATTTTCCACCGTTGCTTAAGCAATGCTGCTAACACCTATTAGCATTATAATATAAGCCTTAATGTTAACCCTAACTAAAGTCAATAGAAACAAATTTTTCTGAAAATTATTGGAGTTGGATAGTTGTTAAAAACCAAAATAAGGACACTAAAATTAACAAATTAGTATTTGTAGCTAAAAATAGTATGCTAAAGTCACTAAGAAAAGGAAAATTAGTGAGAAACCTCACAAAACAAATAACATACAGGAAGTAAGTAAAATTTACAGTGAATAATTTATTAGCACGGACATCGAAAACGGTTATTCAGAGTGAAACCAACAAGCAAACAGAAACTGAAAAACCAGAACCTTTAAATAATACTATTCCTGGATAGGGGACATACAATTATTACTACCAACAGATACACACTTAGTTACAAATACACAGTCCCAAGAAACTTCAGCCACACACACCTGGATAGTGATGGTTTTATACTCGTCACACCAAAGTAACAAAGAAAAGTATATGAAAGTAGAAATACACCAAACACAAATGTACAGTCATAAAAACAAGGAATACAAAATATTCACAGCTACTCAAGTAATGAATTATCATTCAAGGTAGAAAGATCTTCAACTTGCAGCGAAAATCAGACACTGTAAACCAAATATAAAAATTTCGGCAATCAAACGCCTTGCTAAAGGTGGAGTATTTAGTACAAGGGACAGGAACGACTGACTTAAACAGTCTCCTGAAACAGTGGTCCCAGGATGCCTTTCAGCTTGGAAACACTTCAATATATCCACCTGGCAGGTGGAGTCTTAGTACAATGGACAGGAACGACTGATTTGACTTAAACAGTTTCCTGAAACAGTGGTCCCAGGATGCCTTTCAGCTTGGAAACATTCAATATATCCACCTGGCAGGTGGAGTCTTAGTACAATGGACAGGAACGACTGACTTAAACAGTCTCCTGAAACAGTGGTCCCAGGATGCCTTTCAGCTTGGAAACACTTCAATATATCCACCTGGCAGGTGGAGTCTTAGTACAAGGGACAGGAACGACTGACTTAAACAGTATCCTGAAACAGTGGTCCCAGGATGCCTTTCAGCTTGGAAACACTTCAATATATCCACCTGGCAGGTGGAGTCTTAGTACAAGGGACAGGAACGACTGACTTAAACAG